GCCTTGATAACACTATCTGGAAAGCCAGAGCCCAAAGGAAGAGCTCCAGAGACTCTACCAACACTCCCTCGGAGCAAGGTTAAGAAGAACAAATTCCTTTACTATCTCCTCATCCCCCTTACCATTACTCAATTTCCAAGTTTTGTAAGTTCCTGTTTTTCTTTCAATGCAGCTGCGAAGTCACAAGCCAAAGATTACAAAACCTGTCACTGTTTGATTAACTGTCTTTGTTCTGACTCTGTAAGCCTCCTCGCCTGCACCACGAATTTTGTGCCATTTAAATTAGCCAATCCCCTTTCCGAAGTGTGTATAAAAGTCAAGCCCTGTCTTTGTTCGGGACCTAGCCTTTGGATGTGAATCCGTTGGGCCAGTGGCCACTTAAATAAAATCCTTCTGTTTCATCTATTGGTCTCTCTGGTCTCTAATTCCTGCAACAAGGCAAGGGCTAGAAAGGCAAGCCTGCTCTGTGGGTGCATAAATACTAGACCTGGAAATTGAGACCAGTCCTAGAAGAAAAAGATAACCTTATATGCCAGTCTCCTCTTGACTGATTCTCTACAGTTGGGAATGTATTGCAAAATAAATATTCCTTTTAGTATATCTTAACTGTATGATCACAACTTATCAAAGAGGAGCCTATTTCCCCCTACATTCACAGGGGGACAAATAAATAATCTTTTAAGGTTGAAGCAGCAACACCTGAAACTTTGACACTGTGAAGGCAGACAGCTATAAAGTACAGTCCTATCCTCTTTATTATTTTTATTCTTCCTCCCATTTTTGGAATTTACTATCCTTGCCTGGGTCAACTGCTTCCCTCTTAAAAATTAGGTGGCACTGGGTTTACCTCTCATTAACTTTCAAGAGTGGCCAGCAATTACAGACCCAGTGAAAAATACATTTAGAAGCTGATTCTAAACAAGTGAAATTCGGTAGGTAAACAGTAGAAAAATAATATTAGAGAAAAATAAGAAAATCTCAAAACTGTAGAAAAGTGTAAACCTAAAAGCTATAGCAATGTTTTTATTTTTCCATGAAAATTTTGTGAATTGAAGAGTTTTATATCACGGAAATACAAGCAGAACATACTTAGGAAATTACATGGAAAAACTTCTAAATGTATCTAAGGGATAATTTTTTGTAGCCCAAAATGGTCCTTAAGGGAGAATAAAGGTAATCATAGAGGTCTTTTGCCACCTTCATCCAGACTAGTGTTTACATACTGACAACCAAAAAAATGACACTTAATGCCAGCGTAATGTGCTATGGTATGTAAGTTGTCAACCATGCCATCAAGATGCTTATGGTCTGGTAAGATATAAGGTGATTTTCCCCCCTACTCTTCTAAACTGTTATGGTTGATTGAGTTAGTGTCTAAGAATCCTGTGACAGAGGAAGCTACTTAAAAAATAAAATTAGGGGCCGGGCGCAGTGGGTCATGCCTGTAAATCTCAGCACTTTGGGAGGCTAAGGTAGGCGGATCACGAGTTCGGGAGATCGAGACCATTCTGGCTAACAAGGTGAAACTCCATCTCTACTAAAAATATAAAAAATTAGCTGGCTGTGGTGTCACATGCCTGTAGTCCCAGTTACTCCGGAGGCTGAGGCAAGAGAACTGCTTGAACCCAGGAGGCAGAGGTTGCAGTGAGCCAAGATCACGCCACTGCATTCCAGCCTGGGTGACAGAGCGAGACTCTGTCTCAAAAAATAAAATAAAATAAATAAATAAAATAAAATAAAATAAATAAAATTAGGAAACAGTTAAAATCCTAAAAGAATAGCAAAAATATTTAATATATGTGACAGTGTTCTGTCCTAAATTTAGATCTATCCATTAGAGTTTAATAGAATATACTGTATAAAGCCAAATAAACAGAGATGTACAACGTCTATTAAGTTTGCATCACTAAGTCATATCACTGTTCTACTTTTGTTATCAACAGCTCTTTTAACCATGCAGATGACATGGCTAATCTTCAGAGGAAGAAGAGAGAACTGTCATGTAAGTAATTTTTAGAAACAGTTCTTTTCAATTTACCCATATGTATGGACAGATGTAGAGTATAAATTGCACATACTCATGGCCACACAGACACTTGCTGTGAGGCTATGCCTAGACAGGCATTTTCCCACATGTACTTGCAAACAAGCTGGTAGAAAACTCAGACTGTACCCAGGCAGGACAATATACAAGTTTATAGAAGAGGGATACCGAGGAGTGAAGACATATGAATGGGCATTTAGCAGAGAACAGATAAAAATGAGTGATGAGAATGTGAAAGAAACTGCAGGGATTATTGCAAATTGACAGAAAAACAACAGTATGCGATGTAAGAACTGCAATATGTGAAGAGTACTTCATTTCTAAGTGTGAAAATTAGGTTATATAATAGAGAATACACAGATTACAGCACTACATTGTAGAGACTGCAACTAAGATCAAAAGAAAATTTCTGAGAAAAGCAGGTTAACAGCTCAAGTCACTTCTGTTTTGTCACTGCTTATATAACTATTTTCACATAGTATCTACTAACTGCCTCAGTTCTTTTTTTGAGACAGTCTCGTGCTCTGTCACCAAGCTGGAGTGCAGCGGAGAGATCATGGTTCATTGCAGCCTTGACCTCCCAGGCTCAAGTGATCCCTCCTACCTTAGCCCCCCAAGAATAGCTGGGACTACAAGCATTTGCCACCTCACCCAGATGATTTTTTATTTTTATTTTTTGTAGAGATTGGGCGGGGGGGGGGGGGTGTCCTCCCTGTGTTGCCTAGGCTGGTCTTGAACTCCTGGAGTGAAGTGATCCTCCTGCCTCAAGTCTCCCAAAGTTCTGGGATTATAGGTAGTAGCCACTGTGCCCAGCCAGTTCTTGACTTCTTAGTGAAAAGGCAATTAACTCAGTTGATTAATTCATTCCTTTTGTTGTTAAACTACTATTTAGAAGATAAATATTAATACATGCAAATGCTTAGCACTGAAATATTATCTCTCGTTTCCATTATCTAGCTTCAGAAAAATTTTAGTAATCTTTGCAGTCTATCTGAAGCATGTCCTTCTGCCTTCAATTTTCTTAACAAAATTTCTACTCTGCTAGGTATACTCCTCCTGGTATATAAAGTGTAAAATTATCCTCCCATGGAACACTCAAAAACCTTTTACATTGCGTCCTACTTACTTTTTGTAAGAATCTGGCTTGAAACGAAGTTTTAAACAGCCATGCTAATATTCCCTTGGATTTTACATACCTTCTTAGTCAAATTACTAGAAAGCCATAAAACCTCAAATACATTACCTCAGGCCTTCACATATACCACATAACACATTCTGGATCTACAAATGCCCACAACTTTTACTGAGAATTAAAGTATGAGTTCCATATAAAAACCATTTTTGTTTTTTTAAAATTTCTACCAAAGAAATCTTATTATGCCATTTAATTGCTTTTTCATAAAGAACCATGTATTCCTCTTAGTGCTAGTAAAATACTAGTAAAATTTTCTCTCCCTAATTAACTAGTATGTTTTCCTTTTTAGATAGCAATACCCGTATTATTCTGGTTTCCTTTTTTCTTTGGTTGGCAAGAAGTTCTGAGCTAAGTTTTATTCTTAAGTATGAGAATTCTTAGCCTATGTCTGCATACTTTGGCTTTTTATTAAACTCTGCTCAATTTCATTTGTATCCTTTATTGTAAATCACTTCAAATCTTTTGCAGAAAAAGAGTATAAATAGCTGGGTACAATGGCTCATGCCTGTAATCCCAGCACTTTGGGAGGCCGAGGTGGGAGGATCACCTGAGGTCGGAGTTCGAGACCAACCTGACCAACATGAAGAAACCCTGTCTCTACTAAAAATACAAAATTAGCCGGCATGGTAGCACATGCCTGTAATCTCAGCTACTCGGGAGGCTGAGGCAGGAAAATTGCTTCAACCCAGGAGGCAGAGGTTGTGGTGAGCCGAGATGGCACCATTGCACTCCAACCTAGGCAACAAGAGTAAAACTCTGTCTATATATATAAAAAAAAGTATAAGTAAATGTAACTGAAAACAACAGTTTATATAAATTAGACTTTATATTCCTTACTAAACTTTTATTAAAATAAGTCTGCCCACATCTAACCTGAAAAGCAGAGTTAAACTATTTAACAAAAGTATATATATTTTATCTTCAAAAGTTGGACTGAGGCTGGGCACAGTGGCTCACGCCTGTAATCCCAGCACTTTGGGAGGCTGAGGCGGGATCACCTGAGGTCAGGAGTTTGGGACCAACCTGGCCAACATGGTGAAACCCTGTCTCTACTAAAAATACAAAAATTAGCCGGGCGTGGTGGCGCACACTTGTAATCCCAGCTACTTGGGAGGCTGAGGCATGAGAATCGCTTCAACCTGGGAGGCAGAGGTTGCAGTGAGCTGAGATCGTGCCACTGCACTCCAGCCTGAGTTACAGAGTGAGACTCCATCTCAAAAAAAAAAAAAAAAAAAAAAAAAAAATTGGATTACAGTAAAAATAAGAATGGTAAACAGTATATTTGCTCAGAAATAAAGTTTGAAAAAGGTATATTATAATGAACCACACTTCTGCCCTTTTGTATTTCACTCTGCCCTAGTTTCTAAGATGCAATGTGGTTTACTAAACACCACATCCTCACAGAGGACAGATTCTTAATGTATTCATCATTCTGAAGCACCAGTATAGGAATTAACAGGTACACAACTTTTCCCATCAATCACAGGCCTGGGTTATTTAGGAATACAAACATTTATCCTCTGCTATAATTTAAAGACAATGAAGAGTAGATGAAAATAGATTTATCAGCTAAACAAACCATTAAATCCTTTTTAAGTAGGGATTAAAAACTAGGCATTAAATCAGGGATCCTTAATGTGATAAATTTTTATAAATGCAGATATTTAGATTATGGAAAATGGATGTCTTTGTCATTTTGAGCTGCTCAACACAATTATACTATAATTATCTAAGTGAGGACAGGCCTGCTTCCAAATTTACCTGATGAGAGATGGAAGGTTGCTGGATGGGCCCCTGCATTCTAGGGTTTGGTAAACCCACAGGTGCTGGCCTCCGTTGCACCTGTTGCCTCTGAGCCATTACCTGTTGCTGCATATGCTGGAGCCGTAATTGAGCTAGGCTGATCTGTGTTGGGAACTTGGATAACTGGTTTGATGATAAACCACTTGGTGGCTGTGAATTCTGTTCCACGACAGGATTCTGCTTAGGCATTTGTGGCTGGCTCTCTTTATCCTCAATTACTAAAGAACCTAATTAAAAAGAAAAGGTTAAGGGAAAAAGTTTTTCAGATAGTTGGTGAAATATCACATTTTCTAAGACTATTTTTGCAGAACTTCAAAATTGCCAAGGAATTCTCTGGTCTCATGAGCCCTTTTACACTCTGAAAGACAGAGGACCCCCAAACAGCTTTTGTTCATCTAAGTTCTAGTCATCAAAATTTATAATATTAGAAATTAAAAATAATTTTTAAAACTAATTCATTTAAGAATAATAAAACCATAACAACATGTTTTTATAAAACTACATTGTAAATAATTTAGTAAACATTTTTGATATTTTAAAATACTGTTTGATGTTTTAAAAAATCTCTTTGAATGTCTGGCTTAATAGCTGAAATCTCTATCTGTTTCTGCACTATCTATCATAATATATTGTTGAGTTAAAATATATGAAAAAAATTTCAGTCTCACTGTATGGCAGACAGCACCTGACAGCAATAACTTAAGTCTACCCTGAGAGTGACCCTGTATAGCCTAAGAAGAATGTGTGTTTGGAGTTCCGCGCTAAGGAACCCAGGAGTGGCCAACCCAGAGATCCATTCTTTATCAGTGAAGAATATCTGAACTCCCAGGCCAGCCTCTGGAATCCAGGCCATATCGGGGATGGAGGACTTTTGCTTTGTGTTAAATGAAGGTTGCCACATGGAGGTTGCTAGCGGGAGGGTGCTAAGTGCTATATAAACTACATGCTGGTGGTTCTCTTGTCCAGCCCACTGCCACTGGACTGTCCTGTATGTAAGTTCCCTCAATAAGCCCTGTGTCTCATTCACTAGCTCCAGGTCTCTTCTTGGGCCTCTCTTCTTGGGCCTCTCAAACATGGTCCTATCCCTACTGAAGTCAATAGGGGTCTGGCACAACATTCATCCAGACGTGTAGTTGGAAAAGGGTGACCTTTGTGGTCCCCTGATAGAGTACCAGACTATACTCTGAGAACCGCTGTCATATATCAAAACAAGCAAACCTGACATTGGCTCTAAAAACAATCCCAAAAAGTATTTCTGAATGTTTACTATTAACAAGTTGTGATCTCTCAAGTTTCCTATACCTTTACAATGCATACTATGTTAACTTTTTGATACAGAATACATTGACCAGCTTAAAACTAGTTTTAAGAGTTTAATGGTGCCTTTGAAAGGTCTGATTCAAGCTTGATTTCAACAGTAGAAACTCAAATGTTTATGATTACTCATATGCATTCTAAAAATATATAGTTATTCATTAAATGTTTACTGTGTGTAATTCACTACTACAGGTAGGTGTCTGCATATGTTTAAAAGAAACAATAACATTCTCTTTTACACATAAGGGATCTAAGGTTTAGAGAGGTTGTAAAACTTATCCAAAGTCACTCAAGACAGTAACAAAATATTCACCTAGACCAATATTTTTCCCTAGTGTTCTTATACGTTTCTCAGAAGCCATGGGTAAAAAGTTTAGGAAACTTGTCTCCTTCTTTAGAGATTTACAATGTAAATCTCACTGTTTATGAATTTACAGTGCTGTAAGTGAGAGCTCTGAGAAATTCTAGAGTAAAATATATTGTTTAACTTCCTTATACCGGTTTCACAAACTATTAGACTAGGAGATCCTGTTTTTGTTTTGGCTAAAGTAGATTTATCTGAAACTATATCCATTTATGTGTGTACAGTTTTGAATATAATTCTTAAACGTACTGATGTCTATATGTGGGTGTATTTACCTATTGTGATATAAGTACATAACACATATGACCACTTGTTTGGATTTATATCTTGTGATGGGTTCTGAGTACAGATGAATGTGTAGTGGTAGAGTCAGGTGTGGCTATAAGAGTTACTTATACACATGTTTTGTATTCTAAAGATGCTTCTTTTTGGTAAAATGAGTGTGTATAATTCCAGTTTCCTGCTATGTATCAATATACGTATGTTTGTATCTAAACTAGTCTGCAGGGGTCTCCTTATCACCTTTGCTTCCAGGATAAATCTTTTTGTTCTTCCCTTACGGGTGAGATTGCCTATTTCCTCCTTTCCTGGTGAGTCCCATGGGCTCTTTCTCCAGCCATTTTCTTTTCTCACCCAGAATCTAGTGTTGGGGATGAGAAACCGTCTTTGATGATTCTGATTAAGAAGGCAAAAAGGTGTTTCTACTCAGCAAATAGTATAATAAAAAAGCTAAAGTAGTAACTTTCTGCCGAACTGCTTGCAAGGATACTTTCATTCCTGATGTTACCAAAATGATGGTCTCTTTTTGTGATAATTCAGTGAGCTCTAATATAGTCATGTGTTGCGAAAGGATGGGGATATGTTCTGAGAAATGTGTCATTTAGGTAATTTTATCTTTAGACAAACATCAGTTTATTTATGTAAACCTATACTGTATAGCCTACTACACACCTAGGTTATATGGCATAGCTTATTGCTAGGTAGAATCTAGGCTACAAACCTGTACAGCATGTAATTGTACTGAATTATCTGGACAATACTGTAGGAAATTGTAACACGATGGTAAGTATCTGTGTATCTAAACATACAAAAGATACAGTAAAAAAGCTCACAGTATTTCTAAGTCATAGATGCAGTTAGTTGATTGAGACATCATTATGCAGTACCTGACTGCTTAAGATTTGGGTACTTGTCAGTATGTATGTTGTACTTCAGTTAGTAAGATATGTATATAACTATTACCTGATCAGGCAAAATAAGAAAACTAAGTCTTCCCTAAGCAAGATAAAGGATTGAACCATTAAGTTCCTACTGAATAGTTCTAAAGATAAGCCAATAAAAATTTAGTCATTTCAAATAAAACTTTCAGGATATCAAAAATCCTTTATCAATGACAAGTCAAGTTAACACATTCTGATAAATTTAGAGCTAACAGAACAAACCAGATTTGGGGGATTGAGGGAATAGGACAGGACAGGACACCTAAATCCCTAAGTCTAGACACCCTGTCAGTCAATGTTATAGAATATTTTCTTATCATCCATACATGTACGTGTGTTTATATTCATGTATATTTGTTACCATATACATACATTGAGAAATACTATCAGATGTCTTTTTAAAACAAAATAATGAAAACATTTTAAAAGTGAGAGAACATATTTTCTTCGATCCTCCAGCATCAGCCTTCCGAGTAGCTGGGACTACAAGCATGTGCCACAACCCCTGGCTAACTCAGAAATCTTATGTGGAAATGGACTCTCCCTGTGTTGCCTAGGCTGGTCTTGAACTCCTGGCTCAAATGATCCTTGAGTGATCCCAAAGTGCTAGGATTACAGATGTGAGCCACCGTGCCCACCCTAAGTGAACATATTTTCAGTAACGTGTCATAATCATTGAGAGTTCTACAAACAAATGTCACTTTGAGAAATGTATGTAATGGTAACGGCCTACCTAAGTTGATAATATTTTGAGCCCAGAAACTAGGATCACAGTGAAATTGGATGGTGTTGTTGGTCACTGGGGATGCATCACACCTTGCACGAAGGAGGTGCCGTAACCGGTATGTAATCTAGAAGAAAAAGGAGAGACAACTAAATATTAGGCAAATAATTTATTAAGTGCCCAGTAAATATACAAAAACAGTCTCTGGTATGTACATCAATACACAATAAACAATCATATATAGGTCACAAAATTGTGTTGTATGTTGGACATACAACACAATTTTCTTTCCAAAACAAGTTAAAAAGTTTTGAGGCATAATTCAGTTAGCTGTACTACTGAACCAATTTTGAAGTGACAGGTTAAAGTTAGTTTTTTGGATTACTAATAAAACTGTGCAGAATCACTAACTCATATATTTGTAAAATAAAAATTATTAATGTATCTTAATGCTTTCATTTACTTTACTTACTCTCTTAGAAGGATTCAGAATTTAGACTAAGGGCTAATGAGTTACAGGGAATACAAATTTGTCTGTGTTCAGGAAAAGGAACTGGGCCTGTGAGTGAGGTGATTCTCCTTGTTCCTCATTATAGTTCTGTTCTCGCCATTGCCCTGAATACAACCAGCTTTGAATCTCATATCATCACACCACACCATCCTCTTTCCTCCACGCTGCAGTCATTAATGAGCATCTACTCATTCTCCCTCAGTCCTTGAAGATTTTAGTTCTTGGTTCACTATCACCATCTCCAACATTAGTCCTGTGGCAATTTTTGATGATTTCACTATCCAACCAAATGATTCACTTCCTCTAGTGCCCAAATACCAATAATCTCCCTAGGTCCTATAAGACTTTGCTTTTTCCATCCTTTCATCTCACTTTACCCTTGCCCTCTATCCCTCAATTCCTCATTATCCAGCCTCAATTCCACGGTCAATAATCATCGTAATTTCCTTACACATATATGTCACGTATGTAACACACATGTCGTATGACACACATATGTCATACAGCATGTGTGTCACATGTCATGTAACATGTCAGTCACATGTCATATAACGTGTCACATAGTCATATATAACATCATAGATGACACATATATATGACACATATATATGTCAACTCCCCTTTCACTCAATTATATATGCTCACTTCACTCTCCTCAGTGTTTCCCCTAGATAAAACAACTTACCCTGGTTAAATCCCACATGCTGCCTGAACATAATTGAACTGATCTCACTTCAAACACATGACCATTTACTTCAGGTAGGCCATTAAGGCTGACTGGCTATCATATGACATTTCTCTAATCCATTCACTTCCCTACTTTCCTAAATAACTATTTCCTACTTTCTTTTCTCTTTTTGAATCATCAGTATTTCCTCCCCCATTCTTAATCTTAGCTAATGTACTTAGCATTTCACTGAAAATCAGCAACAATCAAAGATCTTCCACAAACTTCCACCACTTTTCAGTCAATATCCCCTCCTGTTGCAACGGATGATGAAATGTCCATGTTTCTAGTTAAAGCCAGCCTTCCACTTGTGCAGTAGAGCACACCCCATCTTGCCTGCCCAGTAATTTTCATCCCTCTTCTGTAACACCAATTTTCCCATTTTACTGGATCACACCCATCAACATATAAATACGCTTTTAACTTTTTTCAGCTAAAAACAAAACTCTTTAACTCCTTTTCTCCTACCATCAACTACCCCATTTCTTTTACAGCAAAACTCTTCCAAAGACTCATCCAGGTTCACTGTCTCCTATTCTTTCCCATCCATTCTTTCCTGAAACCATTACGTTCACACTTGTAGCAGCTTTTCACACAGGTGGTCGGTCTGCCTTCATGGAAATGCTTTTTTTCATTTGGTTTCCAGCACACTATAATCCCACTGTTTTTGAACTCCCCAGTAAGGGCAGGGATTCCTCTGCTTCTTGGCAGTGCACGATCTCAGTCTCCATTGTTGGTGATTTCTTCTCTCTCACACCGCTATGTGCTGGAATGCTCAGGGCTGAGTTTTTTTACTTCTCTCTTCCTCTACATTCCTATGTAGTCATGCACCATATAGCAATGTTTCAGTCAACAATGAACCTCACGTACAACAGTGGTCCCATGAAATTATAATGAAGCTGAATAATTCCCATTGCCTAATGATGTTGGAGCTGTAGTAACATCACAGCACCAGGTATTACTCAAGTGCTTATGGTGATGCTGGTGTAAACAAACCTACAGTGCTGCCAGTTGTATAATGATAATAATAAACTACTATGTTATTGGTTTATGTATTTACTATATTACACTTTTTTTTCATTATTTTAGAGTGTACTCCTACTACTTACTAAAAAAAGTTTCAGCCTCAGCCAAGTCCTTCAAGAGATAGTCTCAGAAAAAGCATTATTATAATAGGAGATGAGAACTGAATGCATGTTTATGCCCCTGAAGACTTTCCAGGGAGATAAAACGTGGAGGTGTAAGACAGTGATATTGATGATATGAACCTTGGGTAGGCCTAGGCTAACGTGTGTGTTTGCATCTTGGTTTTTAACAAAAAGTTTTAAAATAAACAAATAAATAAGTTTATGAATTAAAGATTTAAGGAAGAATTTGTACAATGTGTTTGTGTTTTAAGCTATCTGTTATTACAAAACAGTCAAAACATTTAAAAAATTACAGTTTATAAAGTTAAAAAGTTACAGTAAGCTTTCCTTAAGCTAAAATTTATTATTGAAGAAAAAATATTTTCAAATAAATTTAATGTAGCCTAAAAGCATGGTGCTTATAAAGTCCCCAGTAGTGTACAGTAATGTCCTGCGCCTTCACAATCACTCACGTGTTCACCCAGAGCACTGTAAATTTCCAGTCCTGCAAGCTCCATTCATGGTAAATGCCCTATACCTATACAGGTGCACCTTTTTTTTTTTTTTTTGACTCTCACTCCGTCACCCAGGCTGGAGTGCAGTGGTATGATCTCAGCTCGGCTCACTGCAACCTCCATGGTGTATCATTTTTTAATCCTTTGTATTGTATTTTGACTGTACTTTCTCTATGTTTAGATATAAAAACATTTACTATTATGTACAACCGCCTACAGTATTCAGTACAATGATATGCTGTACAGATAGCAGCAACAGGGTAAACCATCTAGGTTTGTGTAAGTACATCCTATGATGTCACACGATGCCGAAATCACCATTTCTCAGAATGCATCCCTGTCATCAAGCAACACATGACTGTACTTTTTATCCTCAGGTGTACTCTTCCTATAACCCTCCCTCTCCATCTCAATTATTGGTAATACTGTTTTTCCCTACAACTTAAAGTCCTCGGCTCCTTTCTTTTTCTTACACTCTATATTCAACCTGTCAGCAAATCCCATTGGCTCTACTTTTAAAACATATGTCTAGACCAGGCACGGTGGCTCACACCTGTAATCCCAACACTTTGGGAGGCTGAGGTGGGCAGATCACGAGGTCAGGAGTTCGAGACCAGCCTGGCCAACATGGTGAAACCTCATCTCTACTAAAAACACACAAAAAATTAGGTGTGGTGGCATGCACCTGTAATCACAGCTACTTGGGAGGCTGAGGCAGGAGAATCACTGGAACCTGGGAGGCACTCCAGCCTGGGTGACAGAGGGAGGCTCTGTCTCCAAAAACATAAATAAATAAATAACTTATTTTGGGACTATGTAGAATATTTAGCAAAGTATTTACCAGGCAGCAGTCAATACAATATACCATTCCCCCAAATTTCCCCCTTTAACTTTTTGCACCCTCTAATAATTCCCACCACGAATCATGCTCATAATGCTAACCATAAGGAATATTCTAAGAACTATGTTTTATCTGAAATTTAATAACTTTTATCTAAAATTTAATAATTTATTTTTTAAAAGTATTATTTTAATTGACCAATAAAAATTGAATATATTTCTGTGTACAGCATGTTTTGAAATAAATATACATTGTGGAATGGTTACATTGAGTTAATTAATCTATGTATTACCTCATATACTTATTTTTTTGTAATGAGAACACTTAAAATCTACTCTCTTAGCAATTTTCAAGAATATAAACACAGTGGTATTAACTCTAGTTCTCATGTCATATAATAGCTCTGGTGAACTTATTCCTCCCATCTAATTGAAATTTTGCAGCCTTTGACCAATATCCATTCCAATACCCTGAATCCCTTCCAGCCCTTTGTAACCACCATTCTACTCTCTCTGAGTTTAATTTTTTTCCACATATAAGTGAGATCATGAAGTAAATATAATGTCCTCAAGGTTCATCTATGTTATTGCAAATGACAGGATTTCCTTCTTTTATAAAGCTAAATAGTATTCCATTGGGTATATGTACCACATTTTCTTTATCCATTTATCTGTTGAACACTTAGGCTGATTCCATTTTTTGGTCATTGTGAGTGTTGCAATGAACCCAGTTACATACATCAAGATGTTCAAGATGTTCAAGATGTTGATTTCATTCCCTTTGAATATATACATACCCAAAAGTGAGACTGCTGGATCATGATACTTCTATATGTAAATTTTCAAGGAACTTCCATACTGTTTTCTATGGTTGTACTAATTTACATTCTCATCAACAGGATGCAATCGTTCCCCTTTCTCCATTTCCTTTCCAACACCTGTTACCTTTATCTTTTTGACAATAGCTATTTAATCATTTATTTTTAAATAATTTTGAAATCATAGAAACACTGCCAGAAAAGAACCCTACATTTGTTTCACCCAAATTCCCTGAGTGTTAAGTTATGACATTTGCTCCAGTGCCCACCCAACTGCTCCTACACACGCTAATTTTTTCCGAAACTTTTGAGAGCAAGCTACAGGCGTGAGGTCCTGTCTTCCCTAAATACTGCAGTATGGATATCCTAAAACAAAGATCTTCTAACATAACCAAATCCCAGATTCCAAATTCATAAACCAACTGTTACCACACAGCCATCCAGTTTAAACACTTCATCCAAATGCCAAGTTTCAGCAGTCTTTTCCATGATGCTATCAAGGATACAAAATTGCTTAGCAGCCTCATTATTTAGTTGCTTAGTCTTTCCCTTTCGTTCATGTCCCTGATGTCTTTTGAAAATTTTATGC